TGTCAGGGGCGGAAAAATGGCCGCGGACCACGTGTCAGGGGCGGAAAAATGGCCGCGGACCATGTGTCAGGGGCGGAAAATGGCCACGGACCATGTCACGGGAGGGAAAATGCCCGTGTATCCTGTTCGTACCCCGAGGCAGAGTTGGCAAACTGAAACAAAATTTTGCGGCTGGAGCTGGTCGTAACCCAAAAAGTTCATTAACAGAAGTGTTCGTAACCTGAGGTTCCACTGTATATGTTAATGAATAACCTAAACTTCAGCTGCTGGGGCCCATGAAGAACAATCTTAATTTTCTCTGAACCATCTTCTACATTGTGAGCTGGTGAATCTCTGTGCAGCTGAGTGACTGCCAAGTCAGTTCGAACATAAACAAATTTTGCTGACATTTAAACAAACTACCATACCTCACATGCTCTTCAAAATGAAGCCATATCTTGCTGATTTTCAAATTTTCCCTATCTGGCTTTTCCGTGATGAAGTGGCAGTTCCACTGTTTGATACTGCTACTGTTGGTTTGTATAACACCATAACTAAGGTGCCTGCTATTGTTGATCCTCCTCCATGTCTGCTCTTGATAAAACATGATTCTGGGAGTCAACCCAATAAGCAATACAAGTTCAAGCATTATGTAGCAGAAGGCAGCCTTATCAGTACCTTGGGAATTTGCTCAAGGATGAGCAAGATGACATTTTACAAAGGTTTGACAGGCTAAACCAGACCTTAATGGCAACTATTGCCACTGCTGAACTGCTTACAGAATTTGTATCAACTCTCTCACTCTCTTCCAGCAGTTGAAGACCCAGTTGGAATTCAGGCTGTGCTTCCTAACTGGAGGGATGAGCCTCAGCCCTTACTACTGACACAGACAAGTGTCTTGATCTCTGAAGCACCCTATCAAGGGAAGATGACTCCCATTCTTGCCAAGACTCCTTCTATTTTGCCTCTCTCTTCTAAATTGGATAATTCTACTGATGTAACTATAATAGCCTCTCCAAAGGATACTTCACAATATCAGAGAGTTTCAAGCCTTCCAGCACATGATGTTTTCCATCCAGGTGCTTGCTCTCTTCAGATCAGCAGATTGCTGACTCACAAGCAAACTGAACTAGTTACCAGAACCCTTGCTTTTGCCGTGTCACTCTGCTCCAGCCTGTCAGATTCCTGCCCTATTCAATCTGCCTCACCCTTTTCTCTGAATGCTTATTCTTTTCCTGCTAACTGACAATTGTTGCATCCATTTGCCTTTTTTTGTGTACATGGAACAAAGCAGGGTGGTTGACCAAATGCCAGATTCTTTACCTAAATTTGATATTATATTTATGCAAGAAACCTGGGTCATTAGCCAGATTGATATGGGTGGATGTAGTGTACTCTCACTACACCAAAGCTGTTCCAAGTGAAAGGGGAGGCAAAGGTCTGGCCATTTTAATTTCTACAGATTTAAGGGTGAACATTACCCCTTTCCCTTTTTTGCTCACTGGGGGACAGCAGTGTTGTTAAAATTCAACCAGGTTAAAATACTGTTAATCAATATTTATTTAGCCCCACTCCATTCTCATAAGCAGATCAAACATCTTTGGGACCAAATTGCAAATTATATTGAGAAATGTATGAACCTTCATGCCCAAGCTTACATTCTAGTTGAGGGAGACTTTAATGCATGAATGGGTCCAACCTTAACCCTAGCTTTCCCCTGATATGCTTCGCTAAAGACCAACCCAGTAATTTTGCAGGTAATTGCTTGACCAAATTAGCCAACCAATTTGATTTGCACATCTTGAATGTTAGGAATTTGGGTGACCAACCCACAGAATTTACCTATTGGTCAAGATTCCAAATGTCAACAATTGACTACTGGTTTATGTCCTGTGATTTACTTCAGAACATCATTCAAATGATAATTGAACATCAGACAGCAACTATCTTCCATGAACTGATTATTCTAGAGGTCTTCCATTAACCATGAACTGATCATCCTAGAGGTTCACATACTTTTCCTACACACAAATATGTAGCTTTAGATCATTTTCCTCCATAAATAAATTAGATAAATGTTCAACTTGTTCAATGTTTTTGACTCATTTAACTGAGTTCTCTTTATCTAATTTTAAGACTTGTGTAGAGAACAGGTCATGTTTTAAGTCATATTTATGCAGAAATATTGAAAATCCAAAAGGGTTCACAAACTTTTAAGCACTGCTGTATCTGTTTCTTCCAAGACTGAGGACAGAGAGAGAGAGAGAGAGAGAGAGAAGGAGGAGAGAATTATGAAAAGGTGGAGTTTCTTATAATATCCAGCAATTTACAAATAGGCAGAACTAGAATTGGGAAGCAGATCTTCTGACCCAAGTAGATGATCACTTAAAAATGGTGGTTCTGCCTACAATAGCAACTGGTAAAATCAACATAGCTCAGGAAGCCAAAAAAGAGGGCAGGGTGTGTCCTATGGAAGAACTTCTAAAAATATACCCAATCTTAAATTGAAAATTTCAGGATTCACTCTGAATTCATTTCTGCCAAATGAACAAATTGGCTCCAAGATTACAATATTTACAGTGAGCAATGTGCATGAGTAGGAATATATGTCTTAAATGTATGTCAACACAAGTTGTAAAGCAAACACTATGTATACGGTAGATATGTGCCAAGTAGGCATGATTAATTTGGTTCTGCGTGTTAGGCAGAGTGCAGATATAACCACCAGCGTTAGAGAGATTTAAAGAATGCAATGTCCTTATCTTGTTCTCCAAAG